CATTTGGAGTCTCCACTCTCTCATTTTGCCCCCATCAGCCTCTCAGCTGTCTGTCTTCTGCATCCATCACCCTACCCCCGGGCCTCGCCTTTACCGATCCGTTGCGTCTGTTTAGTTGATCTTATTGTTTGCTGAAGACCTCTCGTAACTTTTCAGTAGCGTCAAATGCCTAGCCACGTTGGAACATTTGTCTCTCGCCTTCCTTATAGTAGTCCTGGCTCGACTTCCAGCTGTCAGTTTTATTGATCAGCTCTGTTTACGTTCTGGTGTGTGGTGAATCCAGATGGGAGGCCTTATGTGACCCCGTCTAAGTGAGATCAAAACAACTTAGAGTACAGAGGTGAATTGGAAGTAGGACTCCGTGTGTCTTTGAGTCAGCTATTCTGTTATGAGCAGAGAATTAAGCAAAGCATCGACTCAGCTAGTAACTACGACACCTTCTACGTTTTGTACTACTTTATCGTTCTCTTCCTCCTCGTCTAGTCTACTCGCTGATTAGTCGACGACGCTTCTTGCAGATGGCTGTGCTAGAGGGTCAGAATATCCTGGTGACTATCTCGGGACGCAAGAATCGCCTTCGCGTCTACTATCTCTCCTGGCTCAAGAGCAAAATCATGAAGTCCGAGGGGGTGGGTGTCTCTCTTCCACTTCCACTGTCTCTCATCAACCCGTCTACCCCATTCATTTCGTATCCACTCATCCCTTCAATACTTTCTTTGTCATTTTTATGTGATCCTCGTCTCTACCCTCATGTCTAATCACTCCTGACTTTCAGTGTGACAAGAAGAATGGTTGGGTAAACGTGGGTGAGAATCTGCACGGTGCGGTCACCTTCAAAATCGGTGAGCGCGTCATCCCTCCTTTCCCCCCTCTCACTCCGTTCAGCTCAATATCCCTCCCAACCCCTCATCTCTGGTGTCACAATCGGCCATGTCTGACGCCTTGTTGTTGTTTTTGTTGTTGCAGTGAAGTACGATAACATCAAGTTCCTCGTCATCGCCCTTCGTGACTCCGTGGAGATATACGCGTGGGCGCCCCGACCCTACCACAAATTCATGGCTTTCAAGGTTGGTTCTTCTTTTTGCTCCTCTCTAGAAGGTGGTTACGAATGCTGCATGATTTGATTGGCCTGTAGCCTTCTTACCCTTTTTCACCATCGTTATAGTAACGGTAGTTGGGGACATCGGAACCGACTTCCAGGTGGAAGTGGATCTTATGTTGGTACATTCCACTCGTTGTTGGTAAAGTTTGCAATTTTAGCAGTAGAGGTGATGGATTGTGTGGGTTTTGACGGAAATCGAAACAGAACGCGCCCTTTTTTAGACCAGCCTCAGGGTGTGTGGATGTGCAAACACATCTTCGCCGAAATGTGCGCTCAGGATGTGGTTGTGGTTCTCCCTTTCCTACATCGGCTTCGAGGGGATTGGAGCCTTCAAAAATTACTGTACTGGCTAAATGACTTCAAGACACTTTGTGCATTTAGTTGCCTACGGTACCAAACGCAGGGAATGCCCAAAGGGTTCATATTTCATCTATTTCGGGATGGGAAGTGTCTAGGTGTGTCATTGGATCAATTTTTGTCACATATATATGACACACGGGCTGGTAGTGAATGTAATCAGCGTTAATTTGGATTGGTTTTGATCCTTGCCTTTTTCCTCATCCCTTTGGTGATCAGCTCTTCTCCTCACTGCACTTCCGTCCCCTGCTGGTGGATCTGACGGTGGAGGAGAATCAACGGCTCAAAGTCATCTACGGCTCCGAGGCGGGCTTCCATGCCATCGATCTGGACACAAACACCGTCTTCGACCTCTACCTCTGTCCCAAGGTCTGTGTCTCCACTTTTCATCTATTCACCCACTAGCTGACTCGTTGTGTCCTGAGAGTTGTGCCTCTGTTTGTCCACTCACTGAAGGTCGCGTGGAATTCGCCTCTTTCCTGTTTTAATTCATCGTCTTCATTGCGGTTGAAGCTCTCCTTTATTCGCCGGTTGAAGGCCATTCGAGACTTTTACTAGAGACACCTTTTATTTCCATCCTATTTCCACGCGGAGCAACCGTGCATTCCCATCAAGTGTGAGTCTTCCACCCTTGAGGATGGAAATCGCATCCATATTTACTATCGTCGTGGTCGGCATCTTTGTCACTTTCTCGTACTATGCTGCGTTAGGCTGCCACCTTTTTCCTGTTCGCGGTGCCTTAAATCTGCTCCTCGCCTCCTTCTCCTTCCATTTTGTACAGGTCTTCAAAAATATTGATTTTTTGAGTAATCTTTAAAACGTGCGTTCCGACTTGTTGACTACTTAAATATATCTGCCAAATTTTTGGAATAAATTTTCCTTTCCCCTGTCGATGATTTAAGTATGACCTTTCTTTAGGACACGTTTTAGTGTCCTCTTAAACCTGTCCCGTTCCGGGCCACTTGGTTTGACATTCGTGCATTCGTCCGTTCGTTCGTTGCAGCCTGGGCGACAGTTTTATCCACATTCCCTTCGTCCCGGTGTCGTGAGTCACCGTGTGTAGTGTGTGTGCGATACACAAGCGGGGAAGGACGAGAGTGTCGCATTAATTTTACATAAATTGCCTTCTCTTTCTCCACCTTAGCCGTTAAAATTTTAGTCGGCCCGACGTTGTTCCCTTGGCAGCGCCGCTTGAATTACTCAGTAAACAAAGTGCAAAACAACTGACAATCACTATTTTTAAGTAGAAGAGTATTGTGGACCAGATGTCTGACATTGGATCCAGGTTTTGATAGATGACTCGTTTAAACTTTGTACGTTTTTCAAAGTAATATTAAAGATGCTTTTTTCCACCCAAAATTTCATTGGCCAATCGATTGGCCAATTGGGAAGACAGTGATGTTGGGACCACCAATCACAGGGCGCCATCTACACTTTTGGTCCTTGTCCTGAAATGGGTTCCGACTGGCCCTAATTCATTGGTCTAGCGATGAGCCAATGGGAAGGCCGGCAATCAGGATCACCAATTATAAGGTGACGTGTTTTATTTTCCTACTTCAGCCCAATCGTGGAATCATCACCCCCCATTGTATAGTCGTTCTGCCGAATACTGATGGATTGCAGCTTTTGCTCTGCTATGACAGTGAGTTCTTTCTGCCCTGGTTATCAAATGTTACTGGGTCTAACCCGTCTCTTGTTACTGACATTAATAGATAACATAAACTCTTTCTATCCTTTATCTAATTATTCGGTTTGAAAACTCATTTATTTCATTAGTTTTGCATTTTCAAATCGTCTTCGCGTTGTTGTCCCATGCGTACATTCACCGTTCCCCGATCACCCATCCATCCATCACTCCATTCACCTATCTATTCACTCAGTGGGTTGCTAACCGCTGCCTCATAAATCCATCCATTCCTTCGCCCATGCACCTAAACCTCCATTCTTCATTCATTCTACCAGTTCGGCCATGAAGTAGCCGCCTCATCAATCATTAGGACATCGTCTGAAACTAAGTGGACGTTTTTTAGGCCAGAATGGCGCACCCCATCCTTTCTTCCTTCAGTAATCAACTTGTCTCTTGGATGTAGCCACATAGTCTCTCAACTACTCATCCATTTATCCACCCATACACCCATTTGGAGTTTGTTTCTCCATCCATCCGCCTGATATTCCTTCATTTGGACAATCGGTCAATGTGCCTTAACTCGCCTGAGAGGAGTAGGTAGCTTTGGATGAGAGGAATCAGTGATTTAATCAGGTCTCAAATACATATTAGTGAAGCGCTAAATTACCATTTTCATGAGCCGTAGTACGAGATGGCACCGGCCATCCATTCACCCGTCCACTTTTCAATCTCTTGTCCCCGCATGCATCCTCCATTTATTTCCTTCCGTTCAATCCATCTGCACCATTGACCACTTTCCCAATGGATGACTACTACGGATGGTTTGAGGTGTGAACAATCTTCTGTTTGTGTTTGGGAGAAGTAGGCAAAGGCACTCGTTGCTAAACAACTATCTGACTGATGTAGCGGAGGGCGTGTACGTGGACACGAGTGGGAAGATGACGAAGAACGTGGTGATTCAGTGGGGCGAGTCGCCCACCTCCGTGGCCTACATCCCGTCCTCGGGTCAGTTGCTGGGTTGGGGTCTGCGCGCCATCGAGGTGCGCTCCGCGGAGACCGGCCACCTTGATGGCGTCTTCATGCATAAGCGTGAGCAGCGCTTCAAGTTCCTCTGCGAGCGTAACGACAAGGTGGGTTTGAGCGCCTCAATTAATCAATCAGCCCCTTCATAATCACAGATCCGTCCGTCCATCCATCCCCAACCACCTGCTAATTGCTTTTCAGGTCTTTTTCTCCAACACCCGGTCCGGATCGCCACAGGTCTCAATGATGACCCTGAGTGGGATCCATTGGTAAAGGGGAGGAAGGAAGGCGGGACACTATTACCCTACCCTTTTCCTCTCCTCCTCTCTTACTCCTTCCCTTCACACTCAAAGTGCTTTCGCCGTCGGCTTGTTTCAGCTGTCCAGCCACCCTCCTCTTTTTTCTACCCTCCGATCTCGAAGTGACTTTTCCCTCCACCATGTTGTCCGCTCTCCCTCCAATCCCCCCCTCTCTCTCCTCCTAAGCACCATCCCCATCATGAGCATCACCATTAATACGTGTAATTTGACTGCCACAAGTACTACTTGGCTATCGATGGTGCAACGATCACCTGGACGCGATTAGACGACGTGCATTTGCGATGACCTGCTACCCACTCCCACTCACCTACTCACCCACCTGTCTATTCTTCTGCCAACGATCCCGGTTTCTTTTTTTTCCTCGTCTTCCCACCTTTCCACCACTCCCCCATACAGCACAGACATGGCCTTCATGAACATCACCATTACTCATTCATTCATTCGTTCAGCTGCCAATGCGTGATTTCCTTTCCCCCGCCACCATGGCCACCCGCACACAGCGCACATAGAGAGGAGGGCTTTGACTACCTGCCGCACCAACTAACTGCCTGACCAACTGAGTGATGACCGTGTGTGCGTGCGAGTGAAGATAGACTTGTATTCAGCAACCGCCTGCCTCTCTGCTTGTCTAGCCTTCTCCCCTCAGTGACCCACATTCCTCCTACTTAGTGTCCGTTATCTGAGGAATGCGTGGGAAGTGGGTTTAGATGATCTGATTGCCTCATCAACCCGGTTGGAATGTTGGAAACCGTGGTGGTCTGTTCTAGGGCTTAGAGGGTGGGCCGCATTGTGTTATCACTTCGGGAACGATATGGTACTTGAGGTCGATAGATCGAGATCCGCTTTCTGTGCCTGTAATGTGGTGGCAAGTTATTCTTTGTTGTTGCGAGCTGACAAATTTTACAAACTGTAAACTTCGTGGCGATATTGGATGAGTTCGTGTAGATCATGAAGAACTCGACCTGAGGTGAGGGGGTCTTGTTTACTTTCCGGGTCAGGATTGTGAAGCGTGTCTGCCACTTTTAACCGCAGCATCAATGCGAGTCATTCACGGGATGGTAAAGGAGTATATGGGGACCTGTGATGAAGTTTGGAACGCGACATGTCTAAGTACATGCTGCCTGGGTCAATAACAGGACTGGAGGCTGTGTGAAGATGGCGATAACGTGTTTTTACTTTCAGCAGTCAATAAGTTCTGGGCTTTATTGGTTTCGAGAGCTGTCAGGGTTGGTAGCGGCGCATTTCAGCGTTCAGGAACGAATTCAAACAGTGTTCTCGTAGGTGTGAGAGGATTGGTGGGTTACGGTGGTTTTCAGGCAAGCTATTGTCTGCTGAAGCGGAGCTGATCGCTACCACCTGGGCAATTTTTGTCGCGGACCTGTCCGCGCTACCTAAAAAGAAGATGTAAAAATAGTGAAGTAACGCCTCCCCTACTGGCTGGAATGGAGCCCAAATTACCATGGCTGGGCAGTTCTAAAGTGAGCATAACGTGGTAGAAAGGATTAGGAGACAAAACCCATCCCCAAGGAACTATTTCAAATCCCATTCTTTGTTATATGACTGCTTTAAGGCCAGCGTTTCTCCTACTAGCTATGAACACGCGTGATGGCCAGCACTTTCCTCCTCCCCTAACAATGCATTTTTCATAGAGGACGAAATTCCATATCTAGTAGAACGGCCACGAGGTATCAGTGAAGTTGCATGGAAATTCGGTGACTTACACGGTTGGCTTGCAATGCTACTCTAACGGTGTAATACGTTGGTTTTTTAACTCTCGGTTACAGTAAAGATCCACTTTTGTCTTGGTTTGTTTACCACGCCGGATAGGCTGGCCTTCGGGCCATGCCAGTAGGGCGAATACCTTCTATATGCCGAATATATGTATTCGGCCCGAGTGTAATGACTCCTTTCATCTTCAGTGGAGCCTTACGATGCTACAACAGCACCAATTAAGCTGTGAAATCTAATGAGATGGCTTGAACAGGAGGAGCAAGAGGGACGACGTTTGTTAGTTTAACCCACGGTTTTGGTAAAGAAGTCACTTAGATGGCCTCCAGGTAATGTCATTGCCCTCATGCCCTATCATATATCGCACGCATATATTCTGACCAAGTATTATGTATTCTGTCGTCTTCGGAATGATCTCAGGAGGCATCAAAGCATATTTTAGTGCTTTATTTTATTTGCATCAAATGCGCATTGGCAATGTTTATAACAAATAAACGTGCATTTGGGCCCAAAAATAATGTAATTAGGTTTCAAGAAAAATTATATTTTTGTTACTCAGTTGGTTTGTGTTACCCCAGACATTGGCCGTATGTACTAACAAAATCACTTGAAAGGTAGGTTAGCCTTAAGCATAGCCAAACAAAGTTTGAAATAATGTGCATGATTTTGCTAAGGGTGGATTATAAGGATTAGTCACAATAACCGGATTTTATTCTATTACGTCAATTATTTGTGTATACTGAGACTCAATGCGGTTCTTTTGAAGTGTGTTGGGGGTTTGTGGGTATGCTGCACCGTTTAACTTGGCAATACTTCTTCATTGACACTTAAAATTGTTTAACAAAGGGTGGTTTGATTATATAAAAGCGTGTTGTTCAGTTTTAGACTCAAGAATGCCCTATGCGAATCAGTCTATCGTCACAGTAACGTCTTACAATGACGAGGTTTTCAAATTCTCTCTAGAGGACACAGATTTGAGCGTAGCCAATGCCATCCGCCGCGTCTGCATTGCAGAGGTGCCCACCCTCGCCATCGACTGGGTGCAGTTGGAGGAGAACAACACTATGCTCAATGACGAGTTCATTGCTCAACGCATCGGCCTAATTCCACTCACCTCAGATGACGTAGTCGATAAAATGTCCTACTTTCGTGAGTGCACCTGCCGCGACTTCTGCAAGGAATGTTCAGTTGAGTTGACTCTCGATGTCAGTTGCACCGATGACACGCCTCGCCACGTTACCGGTGCTGATTTAGTTACTAGTAACCCCGATGTTCGTCCTGTGCCCTGCCGTGATGAAAATGATGAGTCAGCACTTTACGCTGGACAGCAAGTAAGGGAATTTGTTGGGCCGCTGATCTGTTTGGAATTAATTCATTCGATTTGGCTTGGTTATTAGATACTCCCGACTGCATTTCTTAACTGTGGCAATTTACGTGCATTTTTATTGTACAAAGCTTAGACCTAGCCTCTTTAAGACCCGAAGACTTCTCTTATCTGCTTTTAGATAAATAGTTGAAGGAAGACTGGAAAGAATCGTTGTTGACTGATTAGTCATGTAGATTGGGAATAAATAAATGAGTGAATTGAACCCGAATGGATGGTTGGTTAGACGATAAAACAGTACTCCATTCCACATCGGAAGGTATTCGGAGAAATCTGATAATTCTAACGAGTAGGCTATGAGATTTTGTGATAACCTGAGGTTTAGGATATTCATGTGAACAATATGCGGCTAACAGTTTCGCAGCTTGTGTGAAGAGACGAAACATTTAAAAAAAAATTAGGAGCTTCTTTATTGTGTTTTTCTCTCTTCAGGAGTCCATTCTCATCGTGAAGATGCGCAAGGGCCAGCGGCTGAAGCTGCGTGCCTTTGCCAAGAAGGGCTTTGGTAAGGAGCACGCCAAGTGGAATCCCACGGCAGGCGTGGGCTTTGAGTACGACCCCGACAATGCTCTGCGGCACACCTTTCTTCAAAAACCTGAGGACTGGCCGCGTTCCGAGTACTCTGAACTGCCTGCCGATTCGGAACAGTCTCAGGCGCCCTATAACCCATTCGGCAAGGTGAGTTTGGGCATTAATGCTATTTTGGAGGACCTAATTGTCTTCCTTCACGGAGCTTGTTTTTCTTTTGATATTGTGTTATCGAGGTTTATCAAGATTGACGCTGTTAGGACACTCATTTGGGCAATTTTTGGGTGCGGCTCTGACTGATTTCTCCAACTTTTCGTTTTCTCACTATCTTCTCCTTCCTTTGTCCACCTTGCTACTCATTTTGTAGCCTCTATTCTTCACTTAATCACTATACTTCGTATGCCATTTATTTACCCAAGCATTAACACGAGCTATTTCTGCTGTCTTTTGGGTGTCTTATTTTCCTTTTGACATTTGCCCAATTCTCGTCTGTCTTTGCGTAATAAAAGCGCACAGATTTTGCCCCACATCATTCACTTTTTCCCCAAATTTTGAACACCCACATCAAATTTATGCATGCCTACCTGTTCCTTTTTTCATTTCCATAAACTGCTTTATGACTCACTCGTAGGTTCGAATGTTGACATTATTACAGGTAAGTGGTTTAAAAGAAGCAAAAGCCCCTTTTCAACGTTACAAGCTCCTTTACTACCTTCTTTTGCCCAACAAATCGTGTAACTGACTACTCGCTAATCATGTTTGTATAACTTTGAGCCCTGACTACTACTTTCTGATCTAAGTGCTTCTTTTCCCGGTATAAATTCGAGACTTCACAATTACGATCGTTCTTGTGCTTAGCTATTTTTTGGGGCTTACCTGTTTTCCAAATTCGTTGATATTCTGGCGTTGGGGGTGAGGGGGGGGTACCCGTGGGATCCAAAATGTTAGGAATCTTTGCACGCCAGTTTCCGATGTCTTTATTTGTGCAGTCAATTTGGACCCCAATCAAATTCAAAATGCAATCTTGTTGAATAACGTATCATTTACCTTATTCCTAGGAAAATTCAGAATTTTACCGGAAAAAATTAAGTTGTTTGAGGGAAAGGCAATGCCCTTTAGCTCTCAAGAGAAAAGGTTGTTATCAAATGGTTTGAAGATTTAGATTAAGCTTTTTCTTTCCCCCTTTTCCTTCTAGCCGTCCAAATTCTACTTTACAATCGAGTCGTGCGGCTCATTGAAGGCCAAGAATATCATATTCTCGGCGTTGCGAGTGTTGAAGGAGAAGTTGACAACGCTGCACGAAAACCTTCCGCCTGAATGATACACTACCTGCCCGCTCGTCCATTCGCCTGTCTCCGTGTGTGTGTATATACATTTCACTTTGTTTTGTATGCATATTCGCCCCCCTCTTTGATAGATTGTAAGGGTCGGCGAGTGGATGTCTTTCAGGATTGGGTTCGCTTTCCACTGCTACCAATGCAGTACTCTGGATCTTCCCGGAGGACCAAAGAAGTCATAATACTAGGACTGAAGGTGTATTGCCGACGTAGCGAGGTGCTGAGGGGTCGTAGCGGACGAACAGAGGCGGAGTTTTAAGCGCTCGTGAAACCCAAACAAAGAGGTAGCGAACTAATTGAGTAGTACCTTAGTCCTTCTTGAAGGCGTGGTAAGATAATAAATACGCCAGCTGGACCGCTGGATGGAGGTACAAATCGCGCGAGTTGGAGAGTGACTGTAGCGAGGTAGCATTGAAAGGAGCGTTTACAGCGCACTGAGTACTCGCTGCATGCTAAAGTAGCATGAAATAATAAACACGACTAGTGCATAGAAGGGTCAGGAGTCCATTGGCATGACCGGGAGGTCATACTGCGGAGCGGAGGCGTAACCCACTGGAATTAAAATGTCCATCTAGTTGACCAAAAAGTCGAAATGCTTCAGGTAAATCGTTACGCGGGAAAGAGCCAAGCTTACCCTATGGCATGGTGTTGGGCCAGAATGCGAAAACAGTGTGTCCCCAACTCCTTACATCATTCTGGCCAGGCTAGCGCCTTCCTCAACTACTAAGGTTGAGGCCTACGACGGTCCTCAACAGAGTTAAACAGTATCTTTATTCCAGATGGACAACAATTACCATTGTTGCCATCGTGTGGATTTCAAGCCGGAGGAGAAGGAACTGTGCCCTCACCTCCTCCTCCTCCTCCCAAAACAGCCATTATTGTTCATCTCATCTTATTTGAAATAGGAAATACCAGAAGAGCAAAGTCTAGAGTTAGAGGGAAGTAAAAAAATATACCAAGACAGAAGGATGTATTAAATAAAGATGAAAATACGAACCACGATGGTTGATCAAATCAACTGTCCTCTGCCTTGAAGAGGATAATTCTTTTTACGGCAGGTGGGATCCCCTTGAGAGATTCTATTTGGGCCGTGAAAGAGGGTCTAGGGGGTGGCAATCCGTCAAGGTACTGACGCATCGTATACCGAAAGACTCTACATGCCACCTGGGTGAGTCTTGGTACCCTACTACTACCAGCACCACCACTATCACCAATATCCAAGGATTGGCGCTCCAGACGTTCCAGTAAATAACTCACATCGCGCCAGTCAAATCTCCACTTCGTCCTCAGGGAAGTGCCGAAAATGCCCAACTGTTCTGAGCAGTGCTGATAGAGTGGGAAGACACGAGAAACCCAACCTTCCAGCTGCGATTCACCCAGAAGAGTGTGTAAATGGCCGCAGAAACGAAGGGCATTTTCTACGAGATTGCAGTCTTCAAGCATAGCTACAACAACGCGTGGATGGTAGTCGGCAAATGCTCCACAGACACTGGTCGAAAGCATAATGTCGATGAGACGGTAAACTGGTAAGAGTTTGATAATGTCGGCATCGCCATGTATGTAGGGGAGAAGGCAAGTTCGTAAAATACCGACCACCAGTGGATCATCTAGAAGAGTTGACACTGAAAGCTACCACTTACTGAGATCGCTTATATCGCGAAGGAATACATCCAAAGGATGGCAGTCGTATCCTTGCCAGACGCGCGAGAGGTGAAATTGGTGAATGAGAAGCTCAATCTCACAAAGAACAGTGTTTTTTGTGCGAAAAGAGAGAAAAGAAAGACGAGAATTGCGTTGAAGAACGAGGCGTACAATTTCGTGCCAGAAAAGGTTAGCTGAAACATCCCCGATTTGAAGATGGGAGATAAAGGAAGGAGTTGCACCAAAGAGAGGATAAGCAAATGCTAAAAAAATCAGGAGGTAGATTTGTTCCGCGAAAGACTTGCAATCAGGAACAAAAAGAGCGGTTGTTAGGGTAAGCTGATAGTTTCGTGGAAGCGAATGTTGCTGAAATACCAAACTGGTGATTCCCCACAAGAACCTTTCGACATCCAGAAAGAACTCAGCAAAATAAAATTCACTGAGACATTTGAAGGCGGTACCATAGCGATTCAGCGACAACAAGTGGGCAGATCGACGCATATTATCGGCCACTTTTACAAGAAGGACGTATGTTGCACAAGAGCCAAGCTGACCCGAAGTGCCTGTAACTATGTTAGCAATCGAGACTTTACCCTCAATCAAGGAAAACTGGGAATTCCCAAGGAATAAGGCTTGTGGCCACGAGGCAATAGTTCTTTGGAATTCTAGATCGGAGTTTTCAAACCCATCACTTGAAAGGTCGAGTAGTGCAAAAGAGAAAACGGATATCTCATTTAGTAGCAAAAAACTTTGGACATCTGAAAAAGTATCAAACTTATGAAAGAGAATGTCTTGGAGAGGTCCTCTGAATGAGCGGGTGGAAGACAAAGACCACACCCACTTATTTGGCTCCATCAAGTCAAGGTAAAGTAAAAGTGAGTTGAAGAATTAAAACAAACCACTGTCAAAAGAATTTTGAAGTTGCCGCAAGTGACTGCCCACAATTACGGGTTTGCGCAAATAAAACACCAACTTTGCCGATTGCATGGAATAAACTTGGTGTATCCAACCCACCCACAAGCGTTGCAGACGCCGCCCTGCATCGAATTACCACGACACGCCCGCCAAATCTACACGCGACGCTCCGATACCTACCCGCACCACCACCGCGCAGACCCCACCTAGCATAATCCGCAGCGGGAAATCGAAGCCCGATGCACAAAAAATACCTCTACATGTATGAGTCATCACTGTCCGTACTAACACCAGGATCTGG